TATACACAATTTCTTTATTCATTTATTTATAGGACTACATTCATTGAGAGCTACGCTATACGATGTATCATTATGTCCTTTATTCGAACGCTGTATTTACCTTTCTCTGATGAGTTATATATAATTCAACAAATCCAAAATTCCGCGTGGCAACAGCCCATTCCGTGTGAGACAAGAGCTGGTGTGATGAGAATTTCATCTTGTTGCCAGCTTACAACAAATGATACCTACGATTTCTTTTAAAGTAGCATACTTTCAACCCGATAGTCACCCTCCTTCATTACATCATACCTTATACACTGACGTGGACATTTGTTTTCAACTGTATTTCAAAATATAATTTCAATTTTAATTACGAAATATTACCAAATCAAATTTACTTAAACTTTACAATTTATATTTTGTCCATACATTTTAAAATTATCAACAACGATTTTAACAATTTACAATCTGGCAATCTGTAAGTGTTTATTTGGCAAAGAAAAATGTCAACCAAGAAACACTGCCGTCGATTCCCAGAAACTAACAACACACTACACCTTAAACAGTAGTAATCTGGATAAAGTACAATAGATAATAATTATTTAATAGTTGAGGCATTATCAAATCGGTAAATGAAATCAAGGACTTGTGCCTAGGCCTACCTTAACGTTATTTCAAGGTTCATATAAAATATCCAAGGCACACATCACGATTTAGTGCAACAAGTTGATTCTGCTAATGAAGACGAAAGACAGTAATGAATTGTGAATAATAGTAAGTGGACAAGGCCTACCTGTAGATTTCTAGCGTTGTCACTGACATATTTGGTTTGCGATTTGCGTAACGGTATATTGTTAAGCGCCATAGAAAACATCTGTTATACCACATTTTCTATAATGAGTCACTTGTTGAATACAAGCTAGATGCAAAAGTAAACAAAACTGACTACAGGTTGCAAGACCAACACCACTTGTTTAATATTATGAGGCATTTCATTTTATCCAATCATGTATGGTAATTTTTGTTAAAATGACTATGCTGTTTTCGTCTTATAAAACATCTTTATGTCATAACATGGCGCCTCCATGGTCATACATATCACTGCTGAGCAGTGATTATTTACCGACATTTTTTTTCAGTAGGCCTATATTTTATAAAGCATATGGACTCAATATAAGAATATTATGTGCGATGTACTATTATTAAATTAATATTCACATATCAAAGACATCTTTATGTCATAACATGGAGCCTCCATGGTCATGCGTATCACTGCTGAGCAGTGATTATTTACCGACATTTTTTTTTCAGTAGGCCTATATTTTATAAAGCATGTGGACTCAATATAAGAATATTATGTGCGATGTACTATTATTAAATTAATATTCACATATCAAAGGCCAAGAACATAAAAGGATAGCACATTGCATATATTTTAACACGGTATTTTTAATTAAAAAAAAATCAATCATAAATACATCACCAACTTAATTTTCTGCATCAACTATTCGCACCTATCTTGTCGGTCGGTCAGTCCAGCTATCCATCTATCGGTCTATCAGTCTCCATTAAGTTCAGTTTTGATGCATCTTTAGAATCGCCGTTCTTGTTTTATTGCTACCATTTTTTGATTTAGAACTACTAGTATTTAATAGGCCTATCTAAAAATGAAAATACAATATGGCCATTTTCAGTCAACAAAAATTAACTGACCTCATCACTCTAGTATCTAAGCAAGAAACCTTGCAATGATCCTGCTAATCATCTGAATTGGCAGATCACCAACACGCTTACCACCACCACCAACATCACCACCACCACTAATTTCATCTGTTTTGTGTAAATGCCCCAACATTCTTGTCAAGAGCCATGCTCTCTCGACGATTACCTTTTCTTCACCAAAACCGTTTTATTTATTTTCAATCTTTCGACAAAAACAGAAAAGTTGGACAGGGGTGCCGAGGAAAAGCAAAAGTTAGAAAAACTGTCATCAAAAGATGTGCTTAACCAAACCCCTGCCAACAAAACAATACAAAAGTTTAAACATAAAATGAACGAAAATTTAAAAAAAAAGCAAATAAATGAATAAATAAAAATAAATAAAACAACATATTAAAATTTTAAAAACATACAATAAAAAAATTATTTTAAAAAAAATATATAAATGTTTATATACAATTATAACTTCCATAAACAGTATTAAGTCATCTACAGAATTTTAAAATGCAACCGTCATAAGAAATGGATAAAATCAATCAAGTACATTTCGTCAATCAGAATATAGCAAATGTAAAAATCCGTAAAATGATCCTTTAAACTCTGTTTAAACATGAAAAATGGCTCCTCAATAAGATTATTTCGTATAGTAACATTAAGTTCAGAAAAGGTTTTCGGAAATCTAACTACCCCGCAGTATTTAAAAGCATCAGTACGACCTTTAGCATGATGGAAGGTAAGTATATCTTGATGCCTATTATTAATTTCAAATAAATCGACATAACCCCTCATAAAATCAGATCGTGGAGAAATGAGTAACTTTGCAATGAATGTCATGTTCAAAAAGTCTCGCCTATTGTCAACAGACAGTAAGCCTAACTCAGCCTAAAATTGTTAGTGAGGCAACACAATCCAAGGGTATATTAGAGATGCTATAACTGGGTTTAAGATATCGCTTATGTTAGATTTTTTTAAAAAGTGCCCCTTGAATTTTCCAATTTCCCATAAGCACTCTTTCAATTTTCATCTTTTCCCATAAGCGCCCCCTCAATTTCCACTGTTTTCATAAGCGCCCCGTTTGAATAAACGCCCTGTTTAAATAAGCGCCCCTAAAAAAAAAGCCAAAAATATTTTAAGCGCCCCGGCGCTTATTCGCGCGAGTACGGTATGTATATTACATTCTGAGGAATGTTGGTTATTTCAATTCCACACAAGGAATACACTTAGCTTGAATTGTCAGCTATTCAAATTAGGAAATATTTTAAAAATATAATCTTAAAATTTCACCACGTAAAATTTGGACAAACATGAAGTGGCTGACAATATTTAAAAAATGTATTATTTCTTGTGATTTTAACTTTTTCATCTCTTTTTTCCGTTGTCTCCTAAAAATAATGGACACATTCTTTAATAACCAGTAACTCTGTTAAGACAGTTTTATGCCTATAGATCAATCTGTACACTCAAAATGAATTTTCATAAAGCAAATGATTTTAGGAACAGGACAGGAAAGCTTATACTGAAAAGTACGTTATTAATGAACTGTTATTTGTAGTCTGTATAGTATAGTGCCTTTCCTTCCAATTTCCAATAGTCACTCCCTCAATATAAGTCAAAAATTCCCCCGAGTAAAGCATGCATGAAAACCAAACCAAAGTTAAGAATAAATATCTTCAGTATGTAATGATGCTAAAAACCCGAGCAATGGGGTTCAACAGATGAATAAAAAAAAAAACATTGACAATTTACAAATAAGATGATTGTATTAACAAATTAAAAATGGTGGTGAAACTTCTTGTGTTAGATGAGCCTGGGACTGCTAGACCGAATCACATGACCTCAAAAAATCAGGCTTATTACTGTTCCAAAGTTGTGCAGCTACTGGAGGAAAGAATTGTTACTTATTGGATTTGGTACACGGGTCTCATACGTTGGATTGTATTCGAAGATCTCTTTGAGTACACATAGGTCTATCAGATATTTAGAAATATACAAAGAGCGTAAGTCAGAAAGTGATTTGAAAACAAATAGAAGAACTTTGAATTTTATTCTATCTTGCACTGGCAACCTATTATTATACAACTTATTATATTATCACAATGACACAATCAGGTAAAAATGTACCTGTTTTGTTTGCATTGAGGTCTTGAGTAGATTAACAATTCTTTATTGTATACAAAAATGATGTGTAATTCGAAAAATTAAATTCAATGAAAAAAGATATTCGTAGTTAGTATGTGAAGATTTTGTATTCACAGGCACAGGCAAGTTGTTACATATTTTAGACTGACACTTTGAATGAGGGATTCATTTTGTTTAAATGAATGATGTTTAACGAAGTTCACGAATGATATTGAGGGCGAGTCTTACAAAAAAAAAGGCAAGTCTCGTCTAGTAGTGATGTATGTCTCTTAATATACACACCACTCACTATACAGGAAATTGCAGTAAACTTGCCAAAATGTATTGAAAATAAGATGCAACAATTTATCATACCAACATTTTCTTTTTTTTTCCTTTACTTAAATTAGTTACTGAGTTTCACTAGTGAATCTGTGAATCCTCAGTTTCTTTTAAAAATTATTTAATTCATTTATTTATTTGGTTGTATACTAAATTATATAATGTCCTCATACCGACTTATTCCACTTCCAGAACTATAGGCGAGCGTGCCGTTCGAACCAGCGCCGATATTATGACTGTAGGTTGCGGCGCCCCCTGCCTTAACCTCTTGGCCACTCGCCTTTATGTCAATATTTCATTAAAAATTGCATTTCTATTACCTATATTTTCTGCCACTTTAAGTGTAGCTAGGCACTTTTTTGGGTGTTTTTTTTTTAGTATCCTCTAATTTCATCCGTATATTGTGTGTCTAGGATTTAATTTGTCAATGTATCATACAGTCATAATCATAAAGCCGTGATTTGGAAGAAGTTGGTCAGTTTAGATTTTGCTGTTTGCTAGTTGTAATATATGATGGGTTTGACAAAATTCGTATTTCCACAAGCACAAGGCATACTGTAGTATACAGTAAAGGTTAGCAAACACACAACTTACGCAAGGCCAGGTTCCAATATCTTGTATTTCGTTCTATCTATGCAAGTCTGGCTATATTTGCTGGTATGATAGTTATTTTCTGCTTAATTTATCGACAGTATCTTGAACTAATATTTATGATATTAAAAAAAAGACAGCAATATTTACAATACAGTGATATAATTGTATAAATTCATAATATCCAGGTACGTAGTATGGGCTAACAATAAGCCGGTTGAGAGATATTATTAGTCAGTCTAATGTTAATAACTGCAATACTAATACGTCAAGTAGTGGCGTATCTAACCACCTGTGACATCATCCCCCACCATTCCAAGACTCTAGATACGACACTGACGTTTAGCTAATATATAAACTGCAGTACTTTAACGAGGGGTCCGAACCAAAGGGCAGTGGCGTAGGCCTATCTAGGTTGTGACTGGCCCTTGTTCAAGAGCACAGTCGGGGCCCTTCACGCATGCGAATTGACTGTCAACTAAGCACCACCGATGAATTGGTTTTGGAGCAGGCCGGGACCTTAATTTTTAGATGTTCTCAGATGGTATCTTTGAAGAGCCGGCTATTGGTTGGACTGGCCATAATAATAAGCATTTCTACTTCTTAAGACCAAAAGAAAAAGCACATTGGCGATATTTATTGAATTGATGTTTTTTATCGGATTAACCAATGAACAATGTCACCAATTATCTTGTATATTAGTTTTATTTACTTATAAGTTCAATGAAATGAAATGGATCATACCTGATTTCCTGACTATAATCATGTTAAACACTTATCCGACAAACACTTTTTAATAATTGATCACTAAAGAAACAAATGCAAGATTACAATTTAAAAATTCTTCTTTAACAGTTGTAAGCAAATAAACACGATCCCAATCGTTTGTAGGATGGAAAGAATAAACAAAAATTCAAACAATATTCATCCAAATTTTGATTGTAAACATTTTAGCGAC